ATTTTACCAGACCCACACTACAAATTATAAATGTCAGTAAGCTTAAACCAGGATTTCCAGTCTGGTGTGGAGCACAGTGAGGTTCTGCATGTATATTATATTATATATGTATATTATAGGGGAAGGGGCTTCAATATCAAGGGATATGATGGGCTGTAATGACTCAGAGGGGAAGCATGCTTAGAATTCATGCAACTGAAATGTGCTTTTTTGTGGCTGTTTGCGTCTGATGCCTTTAAACAAAGCTGTTGAATATTCTTCTGAGCAATTTTCTTATTTGTATTGTCGAAGTGTCAATTATTGATGGAGATTGCTGTTGTTTTACGGCCCATTCATGTTTTCTGCATCTGCAAGGGTACGTGTGACATAAATTTTGTCATCCATCCAGATCCTTAAGGGACCCGTTTGTGAATGTCTGCATGCAGCCCACAATTTGTGACAGGCTGTCTGCACCATAAGCGCCCGACTGCGCATGTGCAAGGGAAATAAATGGTGGTCAAAGCAAATCCTTGTTTGTAGGAGAGACTGTATGAGGAAATTCTCTGGTATCCACACTTTTGTCATTCGTAACTAAAACAGTTGTAATGGAGGTAGTCACTGTAGGACTTGGGGGAAGCTTGGATTTGTACATGCTTTCTATTGAAACAGCCCAAACACAATGGGAAGTCTGAAATACTTCAGGCATTCTGTACTATGTCCATCTACTGTGTTCGACACACCTCAGGAATAATCACTGACATGGTGCCACAATCTGTGAGTAGCTGATATATCCTTCAGAAATTGCTGCATGTTTCTTGCGGTCGATATGAGGGGCAGTACAACTGTTAGCACAACCGTCTATAGTATGAACAGAACTGCATCTGAATCAGCAGTCTGCTTTCAAAGTTCACATTTCTCTGCGCACAGATGTGGAAAGCATAGTTTTCCCTTTTTGTCTGAAACCCTTTGCTTCCTTACTTTTTGGAAATTGTGGGATTGCACAGGTGAGAAAGTACACATTATTTTTTGTAGCTCTTTAAATACCTGATATTTGCTGCAAAATAACCTGTCTGCCCTTATTCCCTTGAGAAAAACAATTTCATTTTACAAGTTTATTCAAAAAATGGTAATGACAAATTGCCAGAGCCCATGATGATCATTTAAATGCTTTGTCCAGCACTCTAAAGTTAAATATTTTTTAGTCTCTTAGAAGTCTAACAAAATCAGCATTATAATACATTTCAGAAGCTCCACATAATGAAAATTGGGAGCATTTTTGTTTCCCAAGTTATGTAATAGTGCTGGCAAATGCACAGAAACAAAAGTATTTTTATCTTCATGGTAATATGAGCATTCACAATAAACATGTCGCAATAGACTGCCTGACATGAGGCAGAAGAGTAATTTTATTTACACGTGCCATGCATTCACACCATTTGGCCAATCAGATGAAGTCCCAGGTGGTCGTCTGCTACCTTCGGATTAATTGGGGTCAATTTAGTGGCAACTGTGAGTACAGCGAGGATGAGCAAGGAAAGCGTCAACAGATGGTTTTTGGAAAGTATTTTAAAGGGACCAGCAAAAATACAACTTTAATTTCTTGTAGTCTTGAAGTTTTATTTAAAATTCTGTTTTGTTTAATTGGTTGGGTATTCATGTGCAATTTGTTCAAGGAAAGTAAGTTCGAAATAATGTGTTTGTTTATTTAATATGCACAAGCTATTCACTGTTTGTGTTAACGTTAGCAGCGTACATATAAGGATAGATATAGGAACTGTACAGCTAACGTACACTTATGTGTTCATTTATCAGAGGTTATATCATTGCAGTGCTGAACAATGTTATCATCCACTGTGGATTTTCCTCACATCATGCAGGCCTATTACGTAAGGATTTAATTGATTGTCTGTTTTGTTAGATTTTTTTTTTTGGTGTTGATCAGTGGGTTAAGCTCTTTGGTGTTAAAATAATGTGCGTCACATATAAATCAAAAAACTGTCAATTAAACTTGTATGTACATGTTGTTTTCTTGTTACAGAAGTTTGCTCCGTTCTTCACTCTGTTGAATAGTTTCAGGATTTTTCTTTAGATGCTCTGCTGACAGATTGTACCTATGTGATTGTATCTAATTTATGTGAGCCTTTTAAAAGATGGATTTTCAGTCAGTGTCAGAATAGTAGGTTGGGGTGTGCTGTCACCACTTCTCCAGCTAACAAGGTGCTCAAATAGCAAGGAACCAAAAGTAAAATAAACTGCTTGGCAACAGTAGCAGCCTAACTGGAAATTTTAGAAGCGTGGACTGTATATATGATGAAATAGGCAAATAGCTTGTGAGGAGAGACCAGAGTTCAAGCTCCCTGTCCGGGCAAATATCTGTTATTTATATTTTGAAACATAATTGTAAAGGCAGGACAGTCTTTACAAAATAAAAACACAAAGGCTTGGACATACTGTTCCCTTGGCATTAGTTTCATGACCAGGGATATTCAGGTAATGTTAACCCTTAACAATACCATGCCTTTTGTTTTATGTTGGAACAGGAATCTGCAAGCTGCTATTGGTGCATATTATGACTTTGAAAGTCCCAGTGTCAACACGCCATCCATGTCCTTTGTTGAAGATGTGACAATTGGGGAAGGAGAGTCTGTCCCTCCAGATACACCTTTTACAAAGACCTGGAGGATACAAAACACAGGTGCATGTCTACACTTAAACTCATGGCTTATATAAGTGGCCTTTCTCAATCTGTATGTAACAGGCATCAAGTCACTGTCCTGGTTTTGTGGTTGAACTGGGACTGAATTCGTTTTTGTGTTTTGTAGGTGCCGAGTCGTGGCCACCTGGGGTTTGTCTCAAGTACATTGGTGGGGATCAGTTTGGGCATGTAAACACAGTAATGGTGAAGTCTCTAGATCCCCAGGAAATATCAGATGTCAGTGTGCAGATGCGAAGTCCCACAAATCCTGGCATGTACCAGGGCCAGTGGAGGATGTGTACAGCCACCGGATTATTCTATGGAGGTAAGAAAACAACATGATATGATTAATGTATAACAAGTCAATTTGTTAGGCTTACAACTGACTTTTATGTGTGTGTTATATATTTCAATGAAGTTTCTGTAAGCCTAAGGTTGCTTTGTCTGACCCACCAAATCAAAAATTTTCAGTTTCAAGCTGTATAACATAGAGAACAGTCATGTATAGTCATCCCACATTTGTGCATGTATCTTTATTCCACAGATGTAATCTGGGTGATTCTTAGTGTAGAAGTTGGAGGTCTCCTCGGCGTGACCCAGCAGCTGTCGTCCTTCGAGACAGAATTCAACACCCAACCCCAGCGCAATGTCCAAGGAGACTTCAACCCCTTTGCCTCGCCACAGAAGAACAAGCATGATGCCTCTGACAACAGCTTCAGAGATCCTGGTGGAGCCTGGGAACGCACACAAGAGCCAATCCAGCAAGATCAGAATGGACTGTCTCATAATGCTGTAAATAGGGCGTCAAACGGTCTCCAAACCAATCTTTCCGTGGTGACTTATGGCCAGGTATGCATACGTAAAAACATGAATTTGTAACATTACAAATGTATGCTCAGCTTTGAACCTACATCAGTACATTCACCCCATACTGTAGGTATATGTAAGTATGTAATATACAGTTTTCATGAAACCTTCACCAACCTTGGAACATTACTCCATTTGAGGAGCTAAGTATGGCTTCTAGGCTCAGTTTTAAGTCCTTTTCAGGCATGGGATATATAACATTACTGGCTGCATCAGTCTGTTAAAGTAATGGCATTATGTCATCCAGGCATAGGGCACTTCTAAGTTCATGTTCCTCGTGCCTTCTTTCAGACACATCCACCACACCCATGGAGAGAACCATGATAAACACGATATTTGCCATATGTGTGAGACTGACCACTTCATTGAAGTTTAGCTACTAATAAACAAAACTCTGAACCTGAATTATTGTCCAAACAAAGTCAGTATTATCAAACAAGCTCACTACTGAACAATCTCTCCATAATGTTAATTGTAATAATGCTACCACAAACACATTCAAATTCACTTGAGTGACTTTCTCTTTGTTCCTCTGGTACTACGCTGCTCATTAAACCTACGCGTCTGTCCAATAGTGCGACAGCATGCAGCATGGTGTTCAGACTTTTGCTGTGTTGAAAGTCATATCTAAATGTTGCTGGTTCCATGCAGTAAGATTGTATATGACCAGGGTGCTCTTTCAGACATGAAGAAGACATGTAGTTGCCATCAAATTGACAGAAAGGAGTGCATGTCTGAAAGTGGCTTTAGATTTAGAAAAATGTAGGGCCTTTCTTTTGGCACGAACAATAGGACAATTGTTGCGTATTTTCCCACAATAGTCATAAGAAGAAGAAGAGCAAAGTCATTTCCTCATTTCTTGTGAATTTGTTACTTTTGTTTTGAGTGTGTAGTTATATTACATTTCAATGAACCTGTTAGTGCGGCTAAAAGTCTTGATACGATCAGTATCACAGATGGTATGTGCTGTGACCATCATGGGAGTATTGCTTCTATTTAGCTAATTGCTAATTCTTTATGATACGTGTGAAAAGTGGGCTGCAAGGTGGTTTGCTGGTTCGCACTGTTGCCTCGCTAGAAGGTCGCCGGTTCACGTCCCAGTGAGGACACCCAGGATCTTTCTGTGTGGAATTTGCATGTTCTCCCCATGCAGTGTGGGTTCTCTCCGGGTTCTCTGGCTTCCTCCCACAAATCCAAAAACACATTGAGGTTAATTGGTGATTCTAAATTGTCTGTAGGTGTGAATGTGACTGTGCTTGGTTGTCTGTCTCTAAGTGTAGCCCTGTGATAGACTGGTGACCTGTCCAGGGTGTCCCCTGCCTTCACCCTGAGTCAGCTGGGATAGACTCCAGCCCCCCCCCACGACCCTAGTGAGGATTAAGCAGTGTATAGATGATGGATGGATGTGTGAAAAGTTCTACCAACAGCTTCTTTAAACTAAGTTTATGATCTTTGTTGAAGAAAAGTTATTGAATTTATCTGTCATGTAGTAGTAACTTGCCCACACGATTCCATCACTTGAATCTCAGATCCACATTATTTTTGAAGAGTTAATTTGCAAAGACAGATAAACACCATTTTTGTAGATTTTCAGAATTTTTTTTTGTTGTTTGCTTGAGAAAATATCAAACTGAAGATGACGGATTTGACTCAGTAGGAATGACATGACAAACATAGAGATAACTTAAGTTTGATATTGTCTCAGGTAGCTGACGGAAAAGTGGGTTTTTTAAAGGTTGTGAAGACGGAGATACCTGTTTTTGCAAATGAACTCTTCATTTAGTATAATCTCATACCGATGATAGCTGTAGAGTCTTTATTCACAGTTTGACCTCAGAAGGTCTATGGGGTGGTTAAACTGGACTGTTGAGAAGCATTTGGCTTTGTTTGCCACTCAGGTACATTTAAATGAACCATTAATTTGAAAGCACATTGACTGAATGGCTTCCTACAAGGTCTGCAGGTTTTGTTGCTGCCCTGAAACTAAAGGTATGCTGCTCAAGTATACATGCCACATTTTGATTTTTTATTTTTATTTTTTTTACATGTATTGTCAATGGTGGGGAAAAAAAACCCTTGACAAACTACAAACTCACAATATGTCTTTCATTTTCCTCCAGGGTATTCATGGACCCTATCCATTTGGACAGAGCTAGAAAGACAAAGACCCCCCCATGGTGAATGATGAGCTGAACACCCTGGGAGTCCTTAAATGCAGAGGAGTCTGGGGGGGGGGGACAGTTGTTTTATACTGACTCATGACAACCCTCTCCCCAAAAAAAAAACCCATGGCCCTTTTCACAAGAAACACAAACGACAGTGAGGTGATGGATTACATCTGCTACAGTGAACCATCCCACCTGACATCAACACCCGGATTCGCATGTGTGAATGCTTCATTTAGGAGTGCTATAAACCCTTAAAACAGATACACACGACTATTTTTATTTCCACTGTAAAACACGCCTAATTAAAGGGAAAGTCACCCTAAACAATATGCATACTATTTGCTTATCCCATGGGCAATTGAATACTTTCTCTCTTTGGGGTTCCTACCAAGGTCTGGAATATTTTAAAAATCACAGAATAGTACAAAAATGAATGGTGGTTATTGATCGTTTTTGAGGCCTTGAGAAGTGTTTTATCAAAGTCAGAAAAATTGAACTGAAGTGTTTTTTTTTATTTGTTTTTTTTAATTCAACAAGCCAAACAGTTTTTTTTTGTTTTGTTTTGGGTTTTTTTAAGGTATGTGGAAAAACTCCAGGCTCTTTTATGTAACAGCCTTATTAGTTTCACCACCAGCCTGGTGAATAATGAGATGGTCAACAGCTAGTATGACAACAAGTATGACCTGTTAAACCAGACTACTCTTCATAGATAAATTCCAGAGTTTCATAGTCATGAAAGACAATTGCTAAATTGTTGTCGGACAAACCTGCCTTTGACTTGTGTTCACAAATGTGATGGAGGGTGGATTATGGGAAAGATTGCTCAGTACACATCTTGTTCACATCAGTGGCCGAGTAGAAATGGATGATTTGACCACGTCATGTTTATAGTACGGCACTGCATCCATTAAATGTGACTCACTTTGAATGTCTGATTTGGCTGAAGTGAGGCATCCACATTTGTTTATTTTCAGACATTTCTGTAATCAAATGCTGTGTGAGAAATATTGGAGCTCTCAGAAAAGTCTAAACTTTGTACTTGGAATTTTGGCTTGTAATGAGGTTTACAAGTTGAAAATTGGGAATTCAGAAAATATGACATGAGCGTTGCATTGACTGATGTGTTGTGTTTAAGCAACAGGAGCAGTTGTTGCGGGAGTTTTGCTTTGGCTGTTTTTCCATTCTGGTATAACAGATTTAATTGTCTTCATTTTGTCTCTTTATTCGCAGTTGTTAGCATAAAATTGGGTGCAATCTCAAACATAATTTGAGACGGTCTGTTCCTCTCTCTATTTTTGTACTTAAGAATAATAGAGTTCTTTTGGCTGAGACGATTTGGAAATTTTCATCAATATCTGCTGTATTTCATGTTTAACTCTAAAGTTACCGGTGTTCATAATTTCAGACTTAATCTGAGCAGTTTTGGACTTTTCTGGAGCCCAGGTGTCTGAACATGGTCAGATAACACATTGAACTGTTAACCACTGCACCATTCAAATTTTGTCACAAAACTACATTACACTTAGGAATCCACAATTTTTGCGTCCATACATTTTAAGACTAATCAGATAAATGATGTTGAGCACCAAGATATTCGAAGATGAGGCAAGAATTCCTGCGCCTTAGCGTAGAAAATATTGTGATCCTTGTGTAGGAGCCCCGTTTTTCTCCCAAAGACAAAACCCAGAGAGCCAAGACACTAATCTGTGCTGTCATCAAGCCACACAGTCTGCAGGTGCCCGATTCAGACTGCATGGGACAAGGTGTGTGTGCTTTTTTTTTAGGGTGGGTTTTCGCTTTAAATAGATGCTGAAGCGCAAAAAGGATGCGTGTGAGTTTGAGAAAGTGAGGTGTGAGGAAGGGTTGAAAAAGCCATTTAAATCTATTTTGCCTGGTGAGTGACTGTAGTTTCTGAGTCCATGTCTACAGTATGTGTACTAAATATATATATGTATGTGTGTGTGTGTGCGCGCGTGCCTGTTAGGTGTGCATGTATGTTAATGGTTTCTCTTTGGAATTAACTGACATAAAATGGTGTATACTACTTGGGCAAAGGATGACTTGACACGTACACATCAATATTGAGAGAGCTTTAAAAGGCATGTACCTCAGAAGTATTTTTTTGAGTGATTCTTCTACGCTTGGATGAACTGATTCAATAATTACCCTGTTGTTATTTATTTGCCGTCTTTATGTGCACTGCAGATTCAAAAAATCCCATTTGTAGCCAGCAGGTGGTGCTAAAAATCAGTTGGCCAACTTTACTTGACACCATGCTACACTGTAAAAACAAAAAAAGTCACGAGTTGAAGTCTGAGCCTGGTAGATGCTCTAAATCTAAAATTGAATGGTTTGCATCAGCCTTATTAGCACCGGTGTTCTGTTACTGCTATTTGCACAGTGCTGCCCGCCACCTCTGACGAGGGGAAAAAGAAGAGATTTTGGCTTATTGTGGATTATGACACCAGCATTTTCCAGAAGATTCTGTATTTGTTTCGTCGCAGCTTCAAGTTTTGTTCCCAAAGTACACGTTTTCACCAGTTTCATCACTGCACCAATGTCTGATGTTCAAAATTTACGTTACTTTGATCACACAGAAGAACTTCACTGCTGTTATCCCTGAGTTTTTACTTCAGCTTCGTTCACTATGCTTTCATGTATTTTTGGCTTAAAAATAAAATGGAAAAAGTTGTCGATAGAACTCTGTGATAGTGGTACAGTTTTTTTCTGAGGAATTCAAACTGATTTTTTTTTTTGTAATTTTTTGATACTTTAATTAATCAAACTTTCTCCAAGTTGTTGTTATGAACATCTGAATGTCGCTCAAAATATTCAAGTTTGTTGCCTCTATTTTACCATGTACCCATTTGTAAAATTCACCAGCATTCTGTGTTGCAGCTCTTCTGTTTCTGTATTGAAGAATCATCTGAGCGTCCTCCTCCCGAACAGTATACACTGTTGGATCTGTTAGTCACGTCAGTTGTTTTTTTGTTTTTTTTTTTTCTTCCTTTTTGTGTGCGTGCGCTTCCTTCTTGTGGGGTTGCTTGTGTGTGTGTGTGTTTGTGAGTGTGAGAGACAGATGGTGAGGAGGTCTGAAATTTGCTGGATTCATTCTCTAGTTTTAGTTTATGACTATGTGTGGACTTGAGATGGGTGGCATGGTGAGTGGATGGGATGAAAGTTTACATAGTCCTAAGATAGCACATTTATCTGAAGAGAAATTGTCAAAATACAGCCTTTTTTCCCCTGTATCTATAATTAAGCATTTGTATGATTAAATTAACACTGAAACAGTGACTAAGTTGTCTTTTTTTTTTAAGAGAACCAACCACCAGCTTATTGTTCTATTCTACACTTCTTTAGGGTAGAAAATAAGATATACTTATCTCCACACCAAAGCAAGGAATTGCATTAATTAAAATTATTAAAACCAACCTTTAAATTAATCGTCCACCGATATAATCTCAGAGCCAGCACGATAATTCTAATAAATTGTTTACTCTTGGTGATCAATCAAGAGTGTTTATAATGTTAAGGGAATTAACTTAGAGCTCAGGTAACCATAAAGATCGCATACGTAAAGTGAAAGTCAGATATAGAAAACACCGGAAACAATTGTATAGGCACGAAGCATTTATTACTAACTAAACAAACAAATAACAACAAACATGAACTATAAAACACAAACAATGACAATGAAAATGCTGGTTGGGAATATGAGTGTGAAAAACCGAATGTGGAGCAGATTGGTGGCTTGGAGACTTAAAAGTCTGTTCTCCCAAAGCAGCAGATAATCTGTTAAATTTGGAATATTGGTCAAAAGGCCAATTGTAATCATGAAACACCCGTTTAGAGATGAAAGCTCAATACTTGCATCGTCCTTGGATTTGGATGCAGATGCAGTGACGTCTGATGTCTGATGGAGAGACGAGGTCTTCAGCTCCAGAGCGGGAGATCAGGGTGTGGCAGTTGAAGTTCAGAACATGGAAGACCAAACTGAGCAGTTCTACTGCAGTTAGAGAATGCCGCTGCTTTTCGGGTGAAGAGGCCTTTAATAGAAAAATAACCGGCCAATCCCAAAGGGCTCCCCTCCCAGAGGGGCTGTTAGGTATGACACCCCTATGTCACGGGGGGGGGTCAAGAGTTCTGTTCTGTTCTGAAATTAACAATGTTACTATAGAACTATATGTACACTGAACAAAAAATATAAATGCCCCATGTCAAATATTGTTGCCATGTGGAGTTAACTGTAAATGAGCATTTGCTGACATTTTATTGTACAAAAGTAATATTTCTCTTGATTTGTGTATAATTTTTAATCCAACTTGCTGTCAGTGAGCATCACTCAGTGAGTTGTTTTTTACTCAGTGCATGGGTGGGGCATGTCCAGTGGGTGATCAGACAAAATGAGCAACACTGGACAGTCCTTGGACTGGGGACAATAAAGGCCACCCCAAAATGTCAGATTTTGTCACAAGTCATAATGCCTCAGATGTCGCAAGTTATGTGGGAGCGTGCCATTGGCATGTTGGATGCATGGATGTCCACCAGAGCAGTAGCTGCACGGCTCAATGTCCATTATCGGGCCACAGGCTGTTTAAGAGTTCGTTTCCAACAGACTGGCACTACTACAAATCGACCTCATCCTCGTCGGCCACGTGTGACCACTCCAGCACAAGATCGCCACATCTGGCTCGTCCATCTGCGGGATCGGCTAAGACCAGCGACAGACACAACTGATGAGACTATTGGTCTGCACAACAGACGCATCACACCTCAGACTGTCCGTAACCGCCTATGAGAGCCAACTTGCATGCTCGGTGCCCTCAGCGTGGTCTGGATCTCACTGCTGTCTGGCGTAGGAACCGACTCACATGGACGAATGCACATGTCCGATGGCCCTTGGCATGCTGGAGACATGTTCCCAATAGAGCATCTTTGGGATGTTTTGGATAGGCGTGTCTGGGACCGTGTTCCAGTTCCAGGCAATGTGGGTCCGCTCCATGTGGCACTCCAGGAGGAATGGAATAACATTCCACAGGCCATCATGTTCAAAGGACTGTCAATCCGCTACAAATGGCCATACCACAATGTTATCAATGCCGATATGAAGATCAGCAATTACTGAAAATATATTTTGAGTTTCTCGATATATTGCGTAACCCAAAAATTCATAAAACTCTTATATTTGACATGGGCCGTTTATATTTTTGTTCAGTCTATTTGTAATTATACAAAGGTAAGCTTGTTGGAAATGAAAATGTGTCACATCCAGTGCATCACGGGGTGTCTTACATGAGCAATGCATTACACCCGGCCATCTGTTAAGGTCCACGTGGTTGAATGTTTTCTTCGTCTTCCCCCAAAAGTTTCTTTGTATTACGATCCTTTGAAGCTCTGATAGGTGTGATAAGGGAATTCCCAAGTGGACTCTGCTTGTCCTGGCTTCGGTTCCCCTCCGAGTCTGCAAAGCTGACTTACATGATCCTGTGACCTGCAGGCAAAGTTCTGTCTTTTATAACATGTGACTGTGAGCTAGAAAGTTTGAATGAAGTCTCTTGAATCCTTTTGGCATCTGTGTCTGTCCATATCCTAAACCATTTTAATGTTAACCCCCCTCTCTGGTCATTCATTAAACCACTAATAACTCATTTATTTGTCTCAAATATTTAGAAGGATTTTTTATTTTATTATTATTATTTTTTTTTAATGAAAATAATGCTTAAATGTGACTCTACACTATGTCCTCCTAGAGCGCACAGGTCTCTCACTCCACACCTCTCTCCATTCGCTGCAACCAGAGCACACCAGCTCACTGCAAAACCACTGTATGCTACACAATGGCAAGTTGTAATATTGAAGTGATTTAGCCAAATTTGTCCGTACTAAAAAATGTTTCTGAAGAAGAGTAACGACAGGGAAAGCCCCGCCCTACAAGCTGACAGAATTGGTTCATTGTCTTTGTTACATATTTTTGCATATTTGTTAATTCTGAGACTCGTCTGTGCACTTAAATCTCAAGGTAGAAATGCTCAGCTATGGTGTCAACTGCCTTTTTTTGGGCTCATAATGTATCTTACAGCACATACAAACACTGTACAGGCATGTTAAGGGGGGTCTTTAAATGACACCTATCAGTAAGAAAATTAATAGCAGGAGACGTTAAGGCCTGCAGGTGTAACATGCTGAGTGTGTCTACTAGACACAGAATGGAAGCCATTCAGAGACCTTAGACACCTTATGGAAATCAGTCCTGCAGTTTTAATTCTGTAGACTGGTCACGTCCCCATTTCAGTCCAGACTGTATTATCTAAATAACTATTTTACTGAGTGACATGGAGTCTAGTCTAGTTCATGGTCTCCAGAGAGCATCCCATATTGTCCTATTGCCCCACCAACAGGCTGCCATCTCATCAAACCTTAATTCGAATTAAAATTCACATTTTTGACAGCTATTAGATGGACATTCTAAAAAATGCTACAAAATAAATACGAGAAATCGATGCAAAAGCCTAAAAACATCAAAAACCAATCAAGAAAAATGTAACGTTAGCTGGCATACCCAAATGGAACTGTAAGGCCAAAATGTATCTATGAGATTTCATTTGACAGGCAACTTTTCCTTGTTTCTAGATTTTGGCAACACATGAAATTTTATTTTACACATTTCTCTAAATATCATAAATGTGAATGCTAAATGAAAGATCAGGAGATCAGCACATTTGTTATAGGATTCATCCTCAGGGGGACCTTCATGATGATACGTACAATATTTCAGTCTGGACCAGTCTGGTGGACTAACAGACAGACTTAGCCATCTATGCAATGTTAGTTTGCAAGGATAAAGAAAAGGAGCTAAACCATAATTCCAAAACAAGCTGATTAATTTATATCTAAAGACAAAGTTTATCTGTAAAACACAATACACAAAAAAGCCATCGGAATTGCTTTACACACTTGTAGGAGAGTTGAATTATAAATCAACCGCCTTATACACAAACAAGCATGCACGAATTAATAAAAAAGATGAATTGAAATGTCTTGCGCTTGTCTTGGAAAGACAAAATGTACAGACACACATGCAGATATTCAGTGCTACCAAATAGCATCAGATATCGATGTGGCATTCTTATACAGTTCAGAAAATAAACAACCATTTCCACTGATGTGTCTGAAGATTCAAATTCCCCTGTTTGTTCAGTGATGGTATGATTTGGCTCTTACATATTTCCGATTAAATTCTGCAGTGTCACATATGCAAATCAGTTATCTGTCACCTGTGTCCCAGGGAAAACTTCCGTCTTTGGCAATTTTTCAACAGACTAAAATGACATTAGATCATATTTCACCTATCTTAACTTTACATCACCAGAATACAGGATGAGCCTGTACAGGTGCCCTGTACCTGGGTGTTTTTGTGAGACAGTCAGTGTGTGTTTTTATGAGTGGGTGGCTTCAGCAAGCACTGAGGCGATTATTTGAATGAGGCTTGTGCAGACATTCTGTGACAGGGTAGCTGAGGACAAATATTGACTTTCGTTTGAGCGTGAATTCTGCAAACCTCCTATCATATCTCCCATCTCCCTCCGCGCTTAGGTCAATAGGTTTGTTTTGTTTGATAACTGCCCATCATTTCTGTCAAGTGAAACGGGCCTGACGCTCAAAGCTACAAGTGAAGGAATGAGACACAGGTGTTGCACACAGACAGTGTTTAAAGTCATGGAAAATATTCTGCACTAATACCACACTGTAGTACTAATATACTGTAAATAATTCTGTGCTCTTTGTCTTCATTCATGTGGTGCAAGTCCATCTTATTCCTATTCAGGACGACAGTATGTTTACAACTCCAATTTTAATAAAATATTCAATGAAGAACTGGTTGCTACAAGACTCTCAGGGAAATGTTTAATTTAAGAATCTCCGTTTGTATCGCCCCAAGCCGTGCACACCCCTCACCAAATACATGCATTATGACACAGCAGTGATATACGATTTTATTCTTGAAAATCAGCCATATAAGATGAAATACTAAATGTTTAAAACATGACTTTCACATTTAGTCATTTGGGATGATTTAAAAACTGCTCAGTCGTGGATTGAGACAGGAAGCAGCCGTGTATTTTCATACGCCATCTGGTTAATAGAGGACCTCCTGCCTTGGAAGTATCAATGTGATTAGATTAGGGATTTTATTTGTCTGGGTGGGAACGCTGCTGGCATCATAAATGACAAGCAACGTGAGCCAAACTTTTTTTTGTGACGGGATGTCTCGGAGCATCAAGAACTCAGAGAGC